CGGGACATTTTTGAATCGGTCGTCAGCAAATTCGAAAAGTATAATGGAGTATGGCCTAAAACTGAAATTTGAGCTTTTCTTGTATTGTACTTATTAAATATATCGGTACCACTTTACAATAAGACTACGCTTATAAAGGGTTTACGAATAGTTTGTAATTCATTTATTAATTAGGTTGTGAACACTTTATAAATCATGAATAGGCTTTTGCAAGACATGAGATAAACAGGGCAACTGACCGGTTGCTTGCCAAATAGTGAGCCCACATTTATCTGTGCTGCTATTGGCTACTTAACTTACTTTGTCTTCTTCATCAGCCAGCATCCTTGGTATCTGTTGCTCACTGAGTTCTCGCTCAGCATCCTTGGTATCTGTTGCTCACTGAGTTCTCGCTAAGTAGCCAATATAAGGCTTAGTCATCTTGCCAAATAGTGAGCCTTTGTTGATATATGAAAACCATGTTAGAACTGGTTTATAAATGGTTCTTAATGATTACTAAAGTGTTTACAACCTAATTCATAACCTAATTATAAACTCTTTATGAATCCTTTATAAGGGTAGTCTTATTGTAAAGTGGTACCAATATATCTGTAAACATATATTACACAGTAGTGTTCATGAGCCCAATGTTCAAATAAATTCAGTAAATTAAAGTGGAAAACACGTTTTAACAAATCTAAGTTGATACGAAAAAAGCCCAATAACTTATATACATAACAAACTTGAAATAAACCCTTGCTATTTCCTCTTATTATAAGAAATCTGAGTAAGGAATAACCTGCTCACACAATACATGAAACCCTCTGGAGAGCTGTGATGTAGGCAGTTCATTTTTCTTAAAGTAGATTCAAGTATTAAGCATCATTTACCTACTTTTGATTCATTTAGCTAACTTAACTTACGAGGCAGTATACCTCACCTCTAGTGATATGTTTCTGTATGTGGCCCTCGTTGAAGAAAGTTTGGACACCCCTGATGTAGACGGAGTAAATGTACCGTTGTGTTTTTTCCTCCAACACCAGCTATGTTGGCGGCAACAGCTGTTGTATCAACACGTGTTGCTAATCAAACAAAGCGTGCAGCCTGGAAAAAACCCAAGGTGTGTTTCCAGATGAAACCAGAACATCCTTTTTAATCGTGCAGGTTCAATCTCTTTTTTAATGTTATTATATTATGATTATTATTATTGTTGTTTTTTATTATTATTATTATTGTTATTATTATCATTATTTTTATGACAATAACTGTTCTTTCTTTGGCTGCAGCTACACGGGAACAAGTTCATGTTTAACTCTTTGCAAGTTCGATGTTTTTTATGGTTGTTTAAAAATGTTGGTTTTTCTACAGCGATAACAAACATACTGCCGAAAGTTAAAGATGAACTTCACATGTGTGCGAACAACCTCTTTCATTTCTTTTGTTTCTTCATTTTGTTTCATTATTTGGCGTGTCTTCGCTCTTTCTCCCCGCTCAAGAGGAGACTAGCAATCTGTGTTTGTTGCAGTGAGAGAACGCCTCCTTCTTATTCTCTGTCAAGTTTTATGGTACCGATTTGTACAATTTTAAAAGTTCTTATTTTAGTATACATGCAGAATATTCCAGTATTACAACAAAAAACATGTTAAGAAAGATAAGATTTAAAAAAAATGTTACAGCATCACACTTATATTTTCAGAACATTGTAATGTTGCTTTACTATGTGCTTCAATCTCCGAAGCGAAAAAAAAACTTTGAAATAAATGCTCTTTTTATAAAATTATATTGAGTCGTGTGTGGGAGTAGACTTTATTTTCTTGCTTACAAATATCTTACAAAGAGATATACTGAAAGATGCTCATCAGCTGAAGCATTGTGGGTCTTTTAAGGAAGACAGAAGACATAGGGAATGTGTGCAACGAAACATGGGAACGCAGCCTCTCACCTGTTGTCCCAGATTCCATTAAACACATGGCATCTTTGAGATTTACGTTGAAAAGAGCAAACACTTTGGGTACTTTGACTTTTCCTTATTATGAAACATTGACATTTATTCACTGCCTGCCACTTAGATAACTTTAGAATATCAACTCATTACGATATGAACGTTTTACCCTGTTTATGCTGAACTTAAATCAACACACAGTGAAGCTGAGATCGATGGAAATGACATTTTTAGTTTTGTAAGTATTAAGAAAACTAAGTCTTAAATCCACATACAGTAACTAGTGGTACCTGTGCTTAAATGACAACTCTGTGTACACACACACACACACACACACACACACACACACACACACACACACACACACACACACACACACACACACACACACACACACACACCAGGTCAGGCTGCACTTAGAACAAAGACGTGAAATAGAAAGAGAGACCGGAACAACTTAGTGTGAGCAGGGAGAGAAGTGGTGCAGACAAATTATACTTTAAACCATGTTGCAGTGATATAACTCATAATGTATTTCTGTAAAGTGGGGAGGACATGCACACTGAGCATTTCTGAGCTTTTCTGACGCTGATTGTATTACATAACATTCAGATCCGCTTGGAAATCAGCATTGAATTGGGGTTGCAACTAATAACTATAATCATTATCAAGCCATCTGATTATTTCCTCTATTGATAGTTTGCAAAAAACATGCTCAGCATAATTCGCCAAAGATTGGATAAAGTTTGCATTTTTGTGACCCAAAGAAAATCAATCAAAGGCTAAATATTCAGGGGGGAAATTACTTAAATGATTAGATAATTAGTTTTCAGCCTCAATGACTGCTTGGTATTGTAGGAATGTGAGTGTGGGAGAGGAATATGGTTTTATTCAGCCTACAATGGGGGTATTTGAATAATCTTTTGTGCAAGTAAGACTCAAAATCTGCAGTGAAATGACCCTCAAGAGCTGAGACCAGACGGAGAGAAAGAGGGGAGGAAGCAGAATGTATTTAAAGCTGCAAAGACTGTAAAGTCAAATACATTTCCACTCAAAAGAAGGTAACTTGTTAACATAGAAGGAGGTAATGTATAGGATGTATCTGTAGTGTCTGAATTAGTGTTTCAGTTTACCCAAAGATGACTGTCACTGTCAAATAGCAGCATACTATAGGAGGTGATCAGAAGAAATCCGGAAGGAAGTAATACGTTCAATATTTTCTCAATTGATAGAGTGCAATTTATAGACATACAGTAAGGAGGTAAGCTTTCCCACAGCTGACCAAAGGACTGGAAATAGAGGACGACGTATACATAATACTGCGCAATAATTAGCATAGTATGTGAGATGGAAAGAAGAGGACACCTAAAAAAAGAGGAAGAAAGTTCAAGAGCGAAGGTTGAAAAATAAGTAAACATTTGTGCCTTCTGCTACCCGGGGTCCCAGTGGGGAGGAGGGAGGAGAGAGGGAGGAGAGAGGGAGGAGAGGTGAACTTTTGCACCTGACTGAACCTTTCCGTCTGTGTCCCAGCGGGAGAAAGAAAAGGAGACGGAAGGAAATCGAACGGACCATTCAGAAAAAAAGGAGGAAACTATTGTGTGTGTGTCAGCTAGAGGTGAGACAGAGGGAGGACATAGAGAGAGGAGAGGATTCAAAGGAAGGAGTTTCAGAAGATAAGGATAAGAAAGCAGAGAGGAAGTGAGAGGAAGTGAACTTTTCAACCTGGTTATGCAACATTAAAGGGGACCTATCATGCAAAATGCACTTTGTGATGTCTTTTATACATAACTATGTGTCCCCGGTGTGTCGGGGAACTCACGCACGTACGGTTCCTCCGTACCCAAATCTCTAAAAACGGGGAACAACGGAGCTGATCCAGATTTGAGTCCGATATGACGTAATATCTGAAATGTGGACCCACGGCCCAATCAGAAACGTTGCTACCAGAACATATCATGGATTATCAAGGATTATCTCTGAAACAGTATGGAGCTCAAAGGCTTTCTCTCTTGCCGGTTATACCACAAGGTGAGTTCCTTTTTACTTCCTGCTTCTTCACACACATGCTCTCCAGTACAGGTTAGCTCTGAGTGTTAGCGATGCTAATGTAAACACCGACCATACTTCCTAAACAGTCGGGCATTGTTTCTGATAGCAACTTTTCTGATAGGCCCGTTTATTTTCTGACGCTGCGTGAGTTCCCCGACACACCGGGGACACATATATAAAAGACATCAAAAAGTGCATTTTGTATGATAGGTCCCCTTTAATGTTCATGCGATTTCAAACAATGAAGCTGAAGCTTTGGATAAAGGTTCTAAGTACATGTCGGCAAAAACCCTAAAGTCATCCCCTTTCAAATCTGCAAATACATGTACCTAATCCCGATGAATGAATTGCACTTCCTTGATTGTACATTTGCCAAGTTTAATACAAAAGTAATACAACGTCTATATAACAAATCACTTCTCCCTTGGAG